TAACCTTTAATATTACAGAATATGTTAACTGTGCCCATTAATGTAAAAACGTGTTGTTTAAAATACCTGAAATCATCTATTAATCATTATAGTACGAATGCATTTGGACATGTATTAAAAGTTGTTTTTGATTTAGTTAGGACTTGTAAGTAATTCACGAAGGTGTCCTTCGATTATATCAAAAGTTCCATTTACATTGTATCCAGCAACATGCCATCCAGGGAAGCACTGGTGTCTGGAGTAACACAGAAATCGGGATGTAAGAAGCGGTGACGCAGCGGGTACCTGAGGCGGAGCTGCATCCACTCCTCCCTGTGGCTCGGGAGGGCTGGACCCCAAGTGGGAGACGGGGACAGGCAGGTCTTCATCCGCTGGAGATAGTCAGTATAAATAAATACCGATATATCGAGATAAAAACACTTTTTTCCCTATTGCTAAATGTATATTGTCAAATGTACTTTAACTCTTGAATCTGGAATGGTATTTTCGAATACACTTTTCTTTCTTCTTATATGCTTATGTTGGAATATACTTTATACTTTTCTATGGTAAATGGACATCACCTGCTTGAGTGAACCAGCAGTTCGAAAGAAAAAGAAGTAGAGAAAATAGGCCGGAATGAGCAGTAGGGAGGACAAGGCGATGACCCAGCCGATGCTCTGAGCCCAGGTCGGGAACGTGTGACCTTGGTATGTCGCGTTCGAGAGATTAATCACGGAGCTCACGAAGATAATCTGTCAAAAAGGCATGCGTCTAGTTATGGTATTATTTCTCCAATCAAATGAAGGTGGTTGATGACACCTGATAACTAATGATTTATCCATTGTTCGCGAAGGGTGTGCCTGCCATCGGGTCCTGCATGGTGATTGGAACAAGTAGGTGTTTTGTTCTGGTGCAGAGTCGAGTGAAAAGCTTATTAGAGGAGTGGTTCTTGACAATAAACAAAAACTAGGAAACAGAATCTATAATTGTGACTCTCCCAGTGAAGTTAAAAAGTGAAATAAAAGTATGGCTGGGTGCGCCAAGAAACACAGAATTAATTGTAAATTAAAGAGATGCAACACTGCATGTCTGTTTGCATTTCGAACACAATACACTAGGAATTTGTTTAAGAAATTTACTCATCACAGACAGGGCATTTTGAATAGGTTATGAAAAGAAGCAGCATATGAGCATTTATGTTGTCTTTTCAATCCCCACTCAGGATTTTGAGTACCACGCCCCGGTGACATTGGTATAGTACGACAGATATGCTGTGACACTGATATACCAAAATAAAAGATGTCCTATAATTTGTCCAACCCGAACAGGTCCATTATGAAAGGGTACTGGAATGTTCTAACCAAAAATTAGGAAATCTTTGTGTTGTTTGTAATTCGATTCTCTCGATAGTTAGGAACTTACAGTGTTTCTGAAGTTGATGGGATAACCAGTTTTCAACAATGAAACGAATACTAGAAAATACAGAATCTCTTCTAGGGACAAGCCCTATTACACCAAGGAGGAATGGGCTCCAACTACAAATGCAGTCATTTGTTTGTGTGTGTTTTCTTGGAAATGCAGAAATGTGTAGATAAGTGTTTTCCTTAACATGCTCTACATCTGTGTTTTTTTGCGTGTGATAGTTGTCTCAGGAAGTGGGCACTGTATGAAGTTTCCCCAAGGAACTACCCCATCCCGGACAACCACAGTTTGAATGACACTTAACTAATAATTTAATTAATGCTGAGAAAAGTAATCAACAAATCTGTCCAGCAAACAGACAGACCCGTAGTAGAACAGAAATAACACAACAAAAAATAGGTATATACTAACAATAAGGATGATGACTAGGAGCTAGTTTTGTTTTTATCGCGTTATTAGCACAGTTATACATTTCTGTCCTTAGCCTTCTGCATGTACTTTCAGCATTTGTGGGCTTACTCATAGCTCAACTGACCTTATGACTAATCAAAGGAGCACGCGTAAAGTGATGACTTATTATTTTTTGTACTTAGAAGAGAAGTAAGAGTGGAGTGATGATTTGTTCACTTAGAAGAAGCACAAACCGTGTGACAATCTCTGTGCGACGTGTGACGGTAAACTGCTTCTTTACAATTACGACAAGCGCGAGAGGCCTTAGCTTTTGTCTGTATGATAAGCGCGATGGCAGTTAGTTTTTATACTGATGAGAAGCTACTTCTAAACTATCAAGTTAATTTTGCCCTTATAAGAAGCGCGGGTTGGGTGACGACCACCTATTATTTCCACTTTCTAGGAGTATTAGGAAAATGACAGTCACTTACCTCAAAAGAAGTGACACTTATAACAAGCACGACGGGAGTGACGACCAGTTACTTCTACTTATAAAAGGCAAGAGAAAATCGACGACTGTTTGCACTTACAAGGACGATGGGAGTGACGACCAGCAAAGCTATCCACCAGCCGTAGCCAATGCGACTTTTGGTCATCAGCTGAAAATCCTGCACGGTGCGACCAGCGCCTCGGAGGAGAAAATCGA